TTTTTGAGTATGTTTTAGGGTTAGAGTTTTAAGAGTTTGAGTTACGATTTTCGGTGAATCGAATATCGAGGTTAGTTAAGTTAAGAATTAAGGCCTTTTTCCGGTTTGGTAATTCCGGTTAAAAATTACCTGGCGCCCATAAGGTTAAATTTTAGCAGGTTTCATTAGGCTCAGGGGAAGTAGGGCGAAGGTAATGGGCATTTTCCATTCCCCGTAAAAATGTCACGTTACAATTGTTAATAAAAATTGTGGCGCTTAAATTTCTCTGGTGACCAGAAGGGAGTCAAGGACATGGGACTGTTGAAATTAAAGTTGTTCATTTTTGATGACATCTATTGTTTTTAAATATTTTGTAATAAATGACTCAATGGGGTTGAAGAATCAAGTTTGTATTCATTCCATGCATTTTCGCTGAGATACAGCTTGACTCAGTAGAGTCCGATACAATTTGCTTATGGTCTCATTAAATCCATTGATTATTGCTTGACTGTACGAGAAATGCCATGGCATTGCAACGCTCGGAGGCACGTGCTGACGGGCAGGTGTTTGAAGTGTGTGTATACTCTCGATGATGCTGAAACCACCACTTCCTCAATATCTGCCATCTTCGTTTCACGTATGATAGAAAAAAATATTCATCTGCAAGAACAAATCAAAATTGAACTTAAAGAAACAATTTCGTATATCAAGTAATGCATTACTGCGTAAAATTTTTCTACCTGGGAAGTGACCGGGAAATTCCAGACTCAAGAGCATTACTATTTGCTTAAATGCAGCGTCCACCTAAATGGAAGAGTCAGGGGAATCATCTTTCCTCCAAATCATCTCATATTCAGTGACAAGTAGTAGAAGTTGCTTATCAAATGCTGCCACCAGAGCCATGATTGCTAGGACGAGAAATTATTGGGTGAACACCAGAAATTTTTCCCTCAAGAACGTTCATGTTTGAAGAACTAATTCGTTTCTCAGCTCAAAATTAGTTAATCGTAGCTCCAAAAAATCCTGTCTGAATAAATGCATTTACTTCGACGAATATTTCTATTTTATCCTGAGAATTGCTCTTCAAAACAAAAGAGGGATACAGGAATTTTTGAGTCGCCAGACTCGTTTGGGAGATAGCTCGATGGTTGAAAACAATGGGTATTGAAAGCGGAATATCTATTGATGAGGGGGTAATGAGGTTATTATCTGGGAAATCAGGAGTTTTAGGAGAAAACATAAAGCGACTTTTTCCGTAGCGAATTTATAACTTACCGTCCAATTCTTCTAGTCCTCCTGAGTGATAAATCGACTGACTCTGTCCACTACTGAGAAACGACTGAGACGGTTTATTCCGATCGTTAAAATCACGTTTCCATAAATACGAAAAAATATCATTTTCTTAAGTCAAACGTAGACTTATTCCGTTCAAAGTGAGATATTTTCCAAAGCCACCTCGATTCCCGCATGACAGAGAGAAGCTAGTCAACGGGTCCTCCGCTAAACAATGGCGTTGCGTTCAGTAACTTCGAAGTTCAGCACAAGAACTTGGATCATCAACACAACTGATCACCAAATCCATTGCCAAAACTCTGTCATATTTGACCAATCCAACCGAAAGTGTATGAACGTTACGATCGTGCATTGTGCGAGAGTTTCTTCTCATCTGAGTTTTACGAATTAATTACGTTTTCATTAGTTTACAGGTGTGGCTGGTTCGTGCCTGATGCCGAAATGGCAAGTTCTTCGATCTCAACCTTATTCCAAAAATGGGATATGGAGAAATATATTGGAAAATTTCAAGGTAAGTGAAAAAAGTGATTGGGTTCCTTAGAATACTGCTTCCTATGCCTCATTCCTACTGTTTATCGATAGAAAATGAATTCATAATTGAAAACTGCAATAGATCACCTCGAATCATAAAATACGCACATTTGTTAGTAATTTATTACGGATTTTTATTGCAATTTTTCTCTAATTTTTTTGTTTCCCTTGGTGCTTAAAAATGCTATAATTATAAAAATTAATACAACAAACATGCAATTCTATCAAAAAATTAGTAGAAAACAAAAACCGTTGAGAATTTTTGCTCAACGCCTTTGTTCGAAAAAAAATACTCATGGCTTCTAAATTCTAAGAAACTTTCGGTGCCTGTTGCTGCTTCTCAACCTGAACACGAACTTCTTATTGTTGTCGTTCAGTTTTTGTGTGGAAACTTTAGGAATCGCTAATAAACCATTTCTTGACACAAAGTCATTATTGATTGGGATTAGCGAATCGATTGATATTTCACATTGGGAGTTGCCACGGTTAGAGTAGTTTTTCTATTAAAAAATTAAAAGAGAAAAAACCGTTGAGCATTTTTTGTTTATGCTCCTTGTCCGATAAAAATACTCACGGCTTGTAATGGGTTCCAAGAATATTTCGGTAACTGTTGACTACTTCTCAACGTAAACGCGAAAGTCTTATTGTCGTTCGGTTTATGTTTGGAACCTATGGGAATCTCTGAGGGGAATCCCTTAAAAAACATCTCCGGAAAAAATATCCCGGAAAAAATATTCCCGGAAAAAATAACCCCGTGAATACATCGAGTGTGGGGGAAAGAGCAACGGGGATGAAATGCGTGACCGGGGGATATTTTTTCCGGGATTTTTTTTCAGGGATATTTTTTCCGAGGATATTTTTTCCGTCACCCCTCTGAGGGAACATTTCTTGACACAAGACCAGTATTGATTGAGATTAGCTTATCGATTGAAGTTTCGGATTCAGAGATTCTACGGTTTGAGTCGAGTTCTCATGGCAAAACAGCGAAGTTTCACTGCAATAGACTTCATGTGCATTAGAAAACATCTGTCAAATGGACGGGAAGAGATGATTGTATTTATCTACGACAAGATAACACTTATTTGCCAGAATCAAGCCATTTTTCACTCCTCAGAAACGAATTCTTGACTGCAGAACTGGAATTATTTTATTGTATCACATCATATTGTTCACAAGTAATTTTCTTCGACTGAAAATACATTTTTCATACCAAACTCGGAAGAATGGTTCGAACAATTGGAACAAAAACAATTTTTAGGATTCTGTACTGAAAAGAAAAAGAAAAAAATGAATGGCCTAGACCGAGAGCGTGATCAATTCTTTGCTGTATTTCTCTGCTAGGAGACGTTGGGCATTTCTAAAAATGCATTGGATTGTCATCACTGATTTAAATCCCATTTCGTTTAAAATAACACATAGAATATTTGGTCGAAGGTGCGCTCTTGTACTTGGCTCACGGTAGAAATTGTTTGATTAATGAATTCATCCCGTAATGGAATTCGTTATTTTCCATAGAAAACGGTTTTACTGACTTAGCAACGCTTGCCAAACTAACTCCACAAGCCATCAAAGAATTAATTGCACACATGGGTGACCGTCTTGCATTTGAGGAGAAATGGAATACATGGTTCATTGAACGGGTATGTCTCAAGCTTCATTTTCAGCTTTTCACGTGATTATGTTGCACGGGGAAGTTACAGAGTGTTCATAAAATTTCTTTACGCAGAGAAAAATCAAGCTGGAGATGATATTTTGTTTTCTTCCATTGCTGGACACAATACTGTCAACGCATTCATACACTCACTGCAAGTCGTTAAAATTGGATTGTATTTCTGAAGTACTGACTTAGGGAGATAGATAATTTAATAAGACTTTGTCTTCAGTTCTTTTTTTCTCTGAGTGGTATGTTTTTGTCCATGGTGAATTGAATGTTTTCATTTCCAAAGATCGATTTTTCCCACTGGAAGGGATCTGATAAGATGTACTTTTTAACAAAAAACTTGTAGAGTATTCGTTGATAAAAATGGTCATCAGTCAGATCGAATGAAACGTCGCCATTTAAACAATAAATTAATTTCCAATGGTAGAAAACCATTTTTGAAAAATGTCAGAATCTTTCTGAACTTCAACCAAGTCAATACATAGCCTGCAAGACTCTTTCGAATCATCTTGCTTGAATGCCTCGCTAGTTTCAGTGTCATGATATTTTCTCAGAATGTCTATTTCTACTAATAGAGGAATGAATTAAAATCTTTGACCATTCAGCTTAAATGAATCATTTCGAAAGAAATCCAGTATTCGAGCTTTTGACCACAATCCAATCGTTCCATAATTTTTCGACTATTCTGTATCGGAACATAATCTTGAATTCTAAAGCGCAGCTGCTGAGAAGGATGAAAACATTGATCCCAATGACCAGCGTAATGAAGGAGAAAAATTGATTGACAAAAAAAGGATTTTGTTCAATTTAATCACCCTCGAAAAAATCAAAGCTACTTTCGACCAACACTGGAGGTCTAGCTGTGCTTTCTTATCGTTCAAAAGAACTGTAGTACTCCAAGAAGGTTATCAAGATTACATCGTTACAGACATCGTCCAGCATCTCCTATTCATCAGTCGCAGGTGTCTTTCATTTTGAAACTCACATAAGTAATGCTTTGATTTTTTCCCAACTCATTTATATCGTTTCTTTACAGCGGTTGGACTCACTTCCATTACGAGAAGATCGCAGACAACATCGTTCGGATTTTCCCCGGTGAAATAAAGGACACGTATTACATTCCACCAGGAAATGGTAATCCACCAAAAGGAAAAATTCACGATAAGTTCAGAAATGAACTCTCACTGGATAGTATCTGCATTGGACAAGTGAAGAAGCGTCGCAGTTCCACGTAACGTGCTAATAAAGTGGTCAAGCGACCACGCTCTGAAGATCAGGAGGCGGAAGTTAAAGACAGTTTAGCCTGGCTGAAGGACAACGTAGAGTTGTCTGATGAATTAAAGTACCACTGGGACAACACGCGTGTCTATCGCAAGAAATGGTTGGCTGTGCAACGATATCCACTTGTAACCGACGTGTTAGATGACTGGCCGATTCTCAAGTCTCCAATTGCTCCAGTTTTAATTGATATCGACTTTGATGCCTTGGGAATTACCGAGAGAGATCGAATTCAGTACTGGGATCAATTTTTCACTGCTGTTCGTAACTATTTCGGTAAAAAGTCCATTGACAACGTCGGACAAGGTTTACTGAGCTTGATCGATTTAGAGACAACAAGTACTAACGGCAGAGTTTTGTGCCAATTGTGGGCGTTGAACAGCTTTTGTGCACCTAAGGGCAGAATTCCAAAGGCTGATTTTGGATCCTCTTCCAATGCCAAGCGAGCATCCATTCTAGAGGCAAAAGAGAGTATGCTGATCCACGTATCTGTGAGTATATTTATATTACTTTATATTCTTTAATTGAAGAACAATACTTTGGATTAAAAAAAATCATTTGTGCCTCAATATTCGTTCAAACTTTATCATTCCATTTTTAGCGAGAGGATGATATCAAAGTAGCCCAACAAGGGAAAATTAAAGGAGCTGGAAGACAGCATGTGCAACCTTACTTGATTGTCGTTGGGAGCCACGTAGCTTCAGCTGAGAAATTTTTTGTCGCCCTTGATAATTACATATATCCAGTCAGCAGTGCATTGAAAGCGATAGATACTTGCTTCAAAATCTTCCATGTGTTGGATGCATTTTACCCACCTCAGAGTCATCATCTCTGGTTACTCATCCAGCGAGGTTTGTACCAATTCTCTACCCTGACTGATATCAAGATTCCTCATATGACCAAAGCCATAGCAAAAGTGGCATCCCTCAAATATGAGACCATATACGCGTAAGAGAACTTACGCGCTCTACCCTCAATACTTTTCTTCTAAGAAAAAAATGATTGTTGTGAGTGAAACTCTTCTATAAATTTTGCTTTCCACTGTAGTGCCTTTCAAGCAATGTATCGTCCAGTAGAGTTCATAATATAGACGAAAGATTTTTATAAAATTAGCATTAGACAATTCCCTTAAAAAATGGAGCATTCATGTCCTTATTGTAAGCAAAAATTTACAATCAGTAAATGTCTTCCACATGTGCGGTCGCAGCACAAAAATTTATTGCTTTTAAAATTTAACTGTCCACACTGCGAAAGATGTTTCAACGATATCTACGGATTGCATCAACACCTAAGAATTTTCCATTCAAAACAGGATAAGACTCCTGAAAAACTCGGTAATAGTGTTCAACAGACAACAAGTAAATGTGAGAATCCTTCAGGAGTAGGGCAACCGAAAAAACGAAAATTGAGCTCTGATCAATTTATTTGCCAAGCTAATACTATCAGTTGTAAAAGTATATTTTCGAGAAATTCTGCTTTCGATTTCGATTTATTCTACGAGCAGCTTTTCAATTCAGTCATGGAATTTTCTGCTAGGTTATTCGATGACAGAAACTTGTGTAGATCATCAGCTCTGGAGTTGATTAAAAAAGCCAGTTTTTTAACATCCACAATACTTTCAAAATTTGTACCACTCTTCAAGAATTCCCAGTATTCTTCGGATTTCACTGTAATTCGTGAAATCGTTGAACGCTGTTTTTCTGAGTTCAGCACAGAATATCGAATTACAGAAATATTTAAGAAAACTAGTTATTTCATCCCTCCTTCTTCCAAAACACTTGAACTCCGTTTAGTTTCCACTCGTCGCAATTCCAAGCAAAATTTGGAAAGAACAAAGACCATAAAACTGGAAATTGTTCCCATGGCTTCAGTTCTAGAAAAAATTTTATCTCTACCGAACGTTCTCAATACGATACTAAAACACGTGGAAGAATGCAAAGCGTCTGAAGATTTAATATCACCGGTGCAAGGAGAAACTTGGAAACAAATTGAGAGCAAATATGAGGGGAAAATTGTTTTTCCATTAGTTATTATTGCAGACGATTTTGAAATAAATAATCCGTTAGGTTCACACAAAGTAGTTAACAAAGTGTGTGGGGTGTATTTTTCATTGCTCGGGATTCCGAATCAATCTGCTGGGAAACTGGAAAATATATTCTTAGCCCAATTATACAAAACCAAAGATTACAGTCGTTCTATGAATGGAAATATTTTTTCACACGTGATTAACCAAGTGATTAAACTAGAAACGGAGGGGATTTCACTCAAGTTACGGAATCAACAGGAAGTCCAGGTTTATTTCGCTTTATTAAGTATTCTCCGGGATAACTTGGGTCAAAATTCCATTCTAGGTTTTTCGATCAATTTCAATGATGACTTTTGCTGTCGCATGTGTTGCATGAAACAAGTGGAGTTTCAGAAAGCGAGCGTGGAAAATCCAGATTTGTTAAGAACGCGAACAAATTATTCTAAGGATGTTCGATCTGGTGATAATGGCGTGCAGCAAGAATGTGTTTTTAATGCCATTCCAAGTTACCATTCCATTGATAACATGTCCGTGGATATAACACATGATATTTTGGAGGGGGGGGATCGAGAAGTTATGGGGAAAATTGTCCATTGCTTGATAAAAAATGATAAACTCTTGACTCTAGACGTATTAAATTATCGAATGAAATGCTTTTGCTATAACTCGACATATGGTTTGAATAAACCACCCTCAATTAAGGCGTCAACTCTTTCGAAGAAACAAGTCTCAATGTCTGCTGCGGAAATGAGTGATTTTATTAAATTCTTAGTGTTTTATATCGGTGATCCCGTACCAGTAGAAAATGAAGCTTGGCAATTATATTTATGACACCGTTCTGTAATGTTAATTGCGCCCAACCCCCGTCAGAATAACTTCACACTGTCGAAGCTGAAAACTACCATTTCAGAGCATCACGTTCTCTATCCAAAGATTTTCAACACCCCCCTTACACCAAAACTTCATTTCTGGCTCCACTACACTCGTTTGATAAAGTTGCTAGGACCTTTAAAATATTACGCAACAATACGATATGCGGGCTATCATAAAAATCTGAAGGATACTGCGAAAAGGACTACATCACGTGTAAATCCCCTCCACACGTTGGCAATGAAAAATCAGATGCAATTTTGCTATCGGTTACTTACTAATGAAGGTTTCTCTGCTAATTTTGATTTGGGGAAAATAATTACGAATGATTTGAGGAGCGTTGATGGATTTGATGCATTTAAATTGTTTGTTCCTGAACCATATTTCGAAAATAGTTCCGTTGTCTCATGGGTGAGAGTTCACGGTACGCGTTATGAGAATAATATGACTTTAAAAATGAATCCAAAGTTCCATGATAAACAAGTATTTGGAAGAATTGCATACATAATTTTAAATGAGGCAAATGTGATATTTGTTGTCAGAAATTCTGAAATAATTCGATTCCTACCACACATACAAGCATTTGAGGTAAGAGATTCTCCAGATTGGGCTCTTATTTCTCAGAAAGACTTGATTAATCATCAGCCTTTTGAAATGTGCACTCTTGCGGACGGGAAATCGTATGTTATGGATTCATAGTGGAACTCTATGTCCATATTTTCCAACGTGATTCATAGATTCGTCCTATCGACCAAAAAAATAAAGATGTTTGATTGAGTAGTTCGCTTTCATAGTAAAACTCAATTTTTATTTTATAATGAAAAATAAACAGAAATTCTAGTGGAAAGAAGCAAAGAACCAAATAGTTTGTAGTACAAATATGAACTGACTATGTTGTGTTATGGCTATTTTATGTAAGAGATGATGAAAAAATTTCTATTTGTTTAGTTTACATTACAGCGCAATTGAGAATCGATTTTTCATCGAAATGTGTTTTTCAGAGAAATTTTCATCATTTCCGTATAAGTGTTGATTGTTCATGTAAAAGTAGACGATAAGTAATAAAAAAATTCATGTTCATTCCAATGCAATTTTTTAATTTCTCCATCCAACTATTCGTGCATGCGACGCAGATCGTTAAGTATTGCTGGAAAGGGAAGAAACATTGGAAGGAGTTTCAGTTGTATTTCGCCAAACATTGTCATGGAATTCTAATATTCAGTAGAACCAGTAATAATGGTAAGTTTTTCGATGGTAAAAATCACCATTGCAACGGCACATCGACATCAATACAAATAATGTAATTTTAAAAAAAATCAAACAGATGTATTTTTTACGGAAGTTGTGCTAGATTTATATGCAGCCCACTACTCTTGCCCAAAAACCAGATTTGTATCGTGTGAAATGAAAATTTGTGGCGACTAATCTCCCACAAAATCTTCTATAGAAGAGCAGTTTTGGAGCTCAGGCACAGTATTATTGACTTGACTTGATTGGTTCTAGGAGATATCTGAAACGTTCTCGTAATAAGAATTATAGTTCATACGATACTCTCGACTACATTGCACGGAATATCATTAAATTTTCAATACAAATGTAGTACATGTCTCAAGCAAATCTCATTGAGCAAGGTGAATAATAGCTATTATGGGAGTTTTATTCATAATTATAGCAAGGAATTAAACCAGGAGGGTTCAGACAATGAAAATTGTGTCTCAAGAAATTCCTTCTTTCCGAAATATATGGGCTTTTTATCCATGTCATAAGTTGTATCGAAAGGTGCAGATTTTTTCTGCTCTCAAGAAATGAGCAATTTTCCTAAATAATACCGGAACTAATTTTACACTTAATCTCATTCACGATAGAAGAAAATTAATTCAAATAGGAATGATAGTTTTTTATTATCATTAAGAAACATCGACTACACAATAAAGTGATTATTATGAACATTCGATAGCTACTATCGATTTCGTAAAGTCACAACAGCAGAGACACACTCTGTGAACCGAACGTTTTGATGTTTTCTCTAAGAAATTGTATTATTAACGTACGCGTTACTGCAGTTAACACATACTTCTTCCGTTCTACACTACACGAGTGGTCCAATGATTAACATTTTAGTCCTGATCTTTTTATCTCTATCCTTCCATTAATTTTAGATTTTTCGAATTACATATTGGATACTAGAAATGAAGAATTTTCTCTGATGAAGATGAAGTTTTGCGATCACCAACCTTATCATGATCCATTCGAGATCTGATCTGCTTCACGGCAACAAGAGTTTTTTTCCCGAAAAATCAATTTGTTTAGTGATGATGAAATGGTAATTCATGTAAAAACTGAATAATTTAGTGGCAAGAATAAAAAAGATTCGTATGATGTACAAAGATTTAAGGTAATTGATTGTGACAAATTCAACCGAGTTATTCTGCAATAAATTTACAATTGTCTGAAACATTTTTCAATCTGATTTGATCAGGGGATTGCTTACGATGTTTTCATTGAAACAAACAAGAGCATGTTTGCGGGAAGAATTTTTGTGATTCTAGAAATTTTCGTCTTCACTCAGTGTGTGGCATATGTCATATAATAGGGAGTTTAAACCTATTTTATCTGTCATCAGTTATATATTTTTGTATTAGAATAATTATTTTTGCTCAATCGACCAATAATTTGAAAACCAATTGTTTTTGTACGTCATGTTTAAAAATTTAATTATTATGTGACAGAAATCATCATCTTCAGTCGTTTAGTGTTGAAACTGTACTTTATTGATCAAAAGATATATTAGCGCTGTAATCAATGTCCGACTGTTTTTTTTTCTTTTTCTAATCATCTTAGCTCTACTCTTCTTTACCAAAATCTTTAGGCACTTTATTGTAATTAATTCTACCAATTAATGACCAATGAAGCAACTAACCACTGAATATAGGATTTTTGAATTTACCGTGTTTCTCGAAGATTTTCCATTTGCATACGAAGTGGAAACTGTATTAAAAGTGACTGAATGGAAAATTTGTAGAAGGCCGAATGCATTTTTTATGTAAAATTTTTGACGTTGGCCTACTTCTATTTTTGTCTCATCAAAATTTTATTCTGATCTCATTACCCATGGTAGGTGATTTTTATTTTTTCTCCGGATGTCGATGAGATACAAAGAAAACTATAAGAATGATCTGACAGATTTACAGAAATTACGTCTTTATAATAACAAATTAATGATGGACGCCCTTGTGCAAAAGTAAAACAAATCTGCCATGCATTGAATTCAATATCAATAATGGAATCATTTAAATGGTGAGAAATGCTGATTGGATCTCGTGGAATGTATTCCCTTCGAAGACACCAAACTTCGTTGATGGAGGTTTTTTCATAATGATGTTCTGCATTCTCATAGTTCTGTACTTCTAGAGTGTAAACAAAAGAGAAAACGTTCATGAAATGTCATAAATATGGTGAAAATAAAAATGTCCAAAACTATGATCAGTGAACTTACCTGCTATCTAACTTTCTGACATTGCGATAATTCTAGATATCATACACCACAAACAATCATCGGTGAGATACGATTGAAGAAGTATGCTCATTCTATAGAAGAGTTTAGGTTTTTAGATGTGAATAAGCTGCAAGACTCAATTACACACTCCGAGCTTTTTTTCTGCACATTCGAAAAGTTGCACAGGTGTAGAATCAAGAGTTGCTAGTGATGTAGACCACATTAGCCACTCAAGTAGATAATTATGACATATGCCACGCATGCGCACGCAATCAGTATGTGAGACGCCAGGAAATTACTTTTTTTTTTAATGAAAAATCATCAACTCGTAAATTCTGAAACCTAAATCATCATGAGCACCAAATGATTCCTCAACAATCCCGTATTAATAAAAAAAAAGGTATGATTTTTTTTAAATCTCCATACTTCACTAAATTAATTATTTAATTGAAACGAATGACTCCTAAATTGTGATTATTGTCTTCAAAATTCTACCGAAATACCACCTAAATATTTATTAAGGAAAAAGTCGAAAAAACCAATAATAACATAAGTATGAAATCAATTCATCCTACATTAAACCTATTACGCATGCGCAAGTCTCCTTACTATTTAGTGTAGGCAAAAAAAGTACGTTTTTAATTTTTATTAATAAAATCATTAACTCCTAAATGATGAAACCTTGATTATAATGACCACCAAATTATGCTCCATCGGTTGCAATTATCTTTGAATTGTTCAATCATAACTTCTGCTCATTATTATTGTAAAAAAATAGAAATCCATTAAACAAAAACTAATCACTCCCAAATTCTAATTACGTTCTCCTAAATTCCACCAAATTACCACCTAAATATTTACAATGAAAAAGGTTTGAAAAGTTAATTAAAAAATTACATTTCTCCCAAGTGCGTAGTACCCTGTTACCGAATCCTATATAATCCTATTTTTAAAATTTTTTAAATAAAAAGAACGCTCCACTAATCGAACATGGCGGATCTCATGGGGATAATCGATCATTTTTCATTCGAATCGATAATCGAACGGGACCCCTGGGGAGAGATTTTGCGCGTTTTTCTCGACTTAAAACTTATTTTTTTGCTCCCGTTAGGAGGCGTTTTGCGGCGTTTATCAGATGCCTTTTAGAACACTGAGAAGTTAGCTATGTGAAGATTAAGTAAATAATTGCATAACCTAATATTATTCCATTGGTCAAATTATTGGTAAACTACTCGACCTCTGAGTATATTACGAATATCTCCTATCCACCTATAATTTATTACTCAATCTATCATCAATCGTTGGCAACAGTTTGATAAAAAATTTAATTTGAATTATCACCGCGCCTGTGTTTACAAAACCTGCACACAACGCCTGTATTCCACGCCCCCTAACGGGAGCAAAAAAATAAGTTTTAAGTCGGGAAAAACGCGCAAAATCTCTCCCCTCATCTGACATGTCATGAGAATGACATCAACGTCGCGGCCGCGGCGGCGCTAGTACAGATAATCAATGTAAATTCATGTGACCTAAATCGTATAACCTGCCACCGTTTTCAAGTGTATACGGGATTTTCCGTGAACCTACTCACTGTATACAATTTCTGCGGAAAATGAATCATGTTTTTCTCGGTATCTCTCGCGGCGTAGAAATTGTGGTCTGCTCATTTAGTGTTGACTCTGTGATTATTCTTGTTGAGATCAGCTCCGTACCGTTTTCAATAAATTGACTCTTGTTGAAATCTAAAAAAATCACATGCCTCGATTTATTGCCTTCCGAAAATTCAACCTCATCTATCTAATCCATCCTCTGTAAATTTCCACCGATCCAGGCCTCTCATAAAACATACCGACTGCACTATTTATAACATTTCGGGGCAATGCTGAACCACCCTGCGACATCCATCCCGACGTTTTAATAATATTAATAATATGCACATACATTGGCTGAAATCTACAAGGGTTTTTCAATATCTGTAAAATCATTGACTTTGTGGAAAAATATTTAACAGTTCTTTTTATAGTTCATTACATTCCCTGCAGAAAGGAGCTTCAGATATCAAGTCCTGTAGTACGTTTGTCCCATATTCTCACCGAATTACAATTACAACGGATATTGAGAAATGAAGACAACCATAAATGCATATGCTTTATTGAATTTGCAGCACAACAAGCTCAGAAAATAACATACTCTCATAATTTTTCTATCTTTGCAATTCACGATCCAGAATTCGATAAAAAGTAATGATCATTATTGCAGTAGATCAAATATTGCCGATTACTTTCATTACCGACTTATTAATTTAGTTGTGAGCAATTTTCATGTTCTCCCTCATTTATATACTCATGCAATCTTTCTTCCATGGCGTGAGAATATGGTTAGCTAACATATCCCTGCGAATAAATATACAAAAAACAAAATAAAATTCTTAGATGGAACTAGTAACGGCATATTACCAAACCGATTATTAAAAATTTGCATAATCACGCAACAAATACGTTTTTGGCGCTCGATGACAACGAATCATAAGTTCATAAATTATACAATGAAATTGATCCAAATTTTCCAATTATTTCTTAATATCTAAAAATTTGGATAAATGATATAATTTCCGAAACATGGTAAGTAAAACCGGGTTTCGTTGCCTCATCCATATTTAATAGTGATTTCTTAAAACTTTTTTCTTCATATAACTACAATATCTTGGGTATAATATTTATTTAAACTTATCCAATTCAATAAGCCCAAAATGGCAATAACACCAAGTTTCGCTCATTCACGATTGTGGCTTTCAGTAATGAATAATTGCCGTTTAGAATTTCTAATTTTTTCTAGAAATCTCCTGTTAAGTTTTCATTGCAATACGTGATATTAAATTTATTATACACAATGAGAACATGTGAAAACTTTCGTGATTAATTCATAAAGGTTCTATTTTTATTTCCCTGTTAATTAGGTAATTCATTTTTATTGATTTATATAAAGTAGGAAAAAGTTTTTTATTTGTTTATTCATTAGTTGTGAATATCTTTGAGTATGTATATGGTCATTAGTTGTATTGCATCGCTTGAGGATTTTTTTTGAAAGTTGAAGAGTTTTTGATAGAAGAAGGTTTTCTGACATTTATATTTTTTATACTTATTGATTATCAAGATCATATAATAATTATCAGTGAGACACATCGACTCATTACGTTTTATCATTTCCATACAAAAGTTCCCTCAAAAATTTTGTTTCGTTAGAATTCACGGAATTATCAATCATTATTCTAAATTCACATCCTCGGACAGTCAATGATGATGAATGATAAATCAATTAGAATAAAAAAATTGAACGATTTTTTCTGACGCGATATCGCTCTTATTCGATTTCATATATACATGCATACCATGCATAAATTCACACTTTATCAGTACATCAATTGCATTTTTTGGTTTCCCATACATTTGTTTCTTTTATTCATTAGTTTCTCGTTACATTTGTTCCTACAAATAAGGCACCTTCGACAAAATATTAATTTCATTTAACCTGTAGCGATATCATCTGATTGAATTATCTTAAATTTGCACTTGGACAGTAATTCTGAAGTGCTGAAAATTTTTTATCGCGTTGGACTTGAATGGATATTGGTAGAAAATTACAAAAAAAGCCATGTAGCAAATGAACGAACAAATTTCTACGAACAAGTTTTTTTGAAGGGATTAATTATCCAGTTAATAAGTTTTTTTTAATAAAGTAAACGGGAAGAAAACTGTGTTGTGAATAACCATATTTTCCATGTTTCAAACCACATTTTCTTTGCTTGATTTATAATTTTTGCTGTGTCGAAAGAATTTGAATCGCAAATTTTAACATTGACATCTTATTTATAAATTCAGAAAACACGTATTGAGTTGTAATTTTGTTTTCACCAATTTGCCGACGACAGTTTCCATCTATTGAAAAATTTCATAAATTATGTTTTTTTGGAAATTGTCTGAAATAAGAATCGTTGTCCATCCCATCGTCTTGTTTAGAATACAGTTGTCTTTCAAAATCTAGATTTACATATTGTAAACATGAAAAAAATAAAAATTGATTTTGGTGGCACAATTTGAAGAACATATGCCATTACGCAATTTTGGTACACTATTTACTTGATTGAATGCTTCCATTATTTTTTTAAAGCGAACGCATCTTGGAAAACATCCCTCTGAATTTTGCAGAGAATCTACAAGGAGTAGCATAAGTAATTTTGCGTTTAATGCGAGTATTTACCACCGAAGTGAATAAATGATGCAATATCGAATTGGTTTATGTTTAATTAATTTGAATTTTTCCACTTTTCCACTTTTTCTATCACCACAAATGCACATGGTGTAATAAGTCGGCATAAGTCCGATAGAACGTACAGTAGGAGAAGCCACGCGCACAAACTTCGTTTTCAACGATTATATGAATACCCGTTTCACCTGAGGCTCATCGTTCAAACTTCACTTTCGACCAAGTGTATACAATAGTTGTTATGCAGTGTGAAGACAGATATTTATGGCCACACGCCAGCATCTGGCTCCACGGACACATTGATAAAACTGAAATTTCGGCCCTTACACTCTAATGTACTTCTCCTTTACACGTGCTTTATCGGCTCCATTTTTTAATTTACCTCTTACACAGTTGACCATATGCAGAAACGCTATTCATCGCCATTGAGCTCTCGAAAATGCTAACGCCAAGTCTCATGGGAACGTGGTGTATCGATTTTTTCAGCAAGTTGATAAAACAAAATTATTCGCCCGATGGATGTTACCATCCAATTATGTCATTTTTAGTATTCTCTCCCTTCCAAAAATCCCCTCTTTTATTTCTTCATTTGTATTAATTTTCCGAAATGAAAGCTATAATCATCAGAAAAAGTGCTCAGTAATAAAATTCTAGCAGAAACTGGCTACAAGTTTTAAAAATAAGAAATGATAAGGCAATAAAGAGAGGAGCTGATCAGGTAACAAAAACTAGTGCAGTCTCTGATCGCTGGATTTGAAAGAGCTGAAACTGATACCAATCCAACGGTTTAAGGATGTATTGCCGGTATTTGCTCATTTTCCATGTGTTTTCGAAATTTCTGAATACCCCTGGATCAGATTGACGTGGAAAAATATACCATTGTTAGGTTTTCATTTATTTCATTATTCAATAACTCACTAATTTTCATAGTTGTGCGTTTATTATTGTTCTAAATTTTTCGTAAAGTTTTGTGAATTTTTGATGCGGTCTGACAATTCTCCCACGGTAATGAAACTCCGTGAGGAATTGAATAATAATAAAACTTAAAAACTCTTTGAAAGGCTAATCAAAGAAACAGTTTTATTGTTCTTCAATTAAACAGCATAATGAACCTTATTTGACATTATTATTAATCCGCCTGGTGTTTAAAAAATGCAGTCAATTCAAAAGTAATTCAAATTCAACTGTGTTATGATTTTGATGTACTGCAGATAATATACTTCCGAATCTTGAAATATTGTAAAGAAAGAGTTTTCACATTAGGAATACCAAGTACAAATTTGTGTCTAGATATAGCGTTTCAGAAAAATTAATCACATGATATCGACTCCTAATGAAAATATGAATGCGTTGTTTTTACTCTTGGTATTAAAAAACAGCTTAACTCGATTATATTATAGAATTCACAAACAATTTTGCTGTGTAAAGGCTCAACTAACATTCTTAATGGGAAATACTTTGCTTTACTTTACATGCGTTTGAATAGTTCCACTGAGTTGCCCGTCTCTATCGACATGTATATCGAGTATTCAATATTTGCAGTCAATTACGGGATAAAATATTGATTAAATGTTAAGAGAATTGACTATTTCAATCAAGTAATTCTCTTAAATGATGATTGGTGCACATCATGGAATGCTGAATTATTAATGGAGAAAGCATTTGGAAGAGATGGCATCTTAATCGAATTAAAAATGTAAAATAGGAAAATTAATGACGTTTTAATAAACAATGGAGATGAATAAGAGCAATTAATTAAGTGAGACAAAAAAATTAATTAGTATTCTTCATAACGGTACATTACAATACTAAAGCGAAAAAAAAGTGGATAATTCGATTTGTTTTAAAAGCTTGAAAAGACTCATTGAAATAATTTACAGGTAATTACAAAGTTCCATTGGCGAAATATTGGTATCTATCGTACAATTTCGTGGACCATGAATGAATACTTCCTTCTACGAGGTCCTCTACATGTTGGCGCAATTGATCTTCGGTGAGAGTCAAGTGGAAACGATTTTTTAGCCCTTGGACTGTAGCTGCCCCTCCACTGCGAAAGCATGGAAGTTGTGAACCTGGAAAGAGGCGAAGATAAATTTTATTAATAGGAAACATCTTTTCAAGTTAAAGAAAAATACCGGCTAAATACCAATCTAGGTCGTGCTAGAGTTGCTCGAGTTTGAAGAGGAATGACGGGAGAATTTCAGAAGATTCATGATGTTCTTTACTATGTATTCATTCTATGTTTGTTTCTTGGACTTCTTCTATATGGCTATAAATTATCAACCGAACTGTTCTAACCTATTATGTAATATTATTACTTGATACTTTTAAAGTGATTGCTTTCTAAATGATTTGATTATTGTAGTACCTACAAATTCCTAGGAAGTAAGATTTCTCGAGAAGAAATAAGAAAAACAGGAAAGAAATAATAAAGGAACAGGGACAGCCCACTATAGAAGAACCCTACAAACCCTCTTCCCGATCTCCGCAGCACCCACCGAGCGATCTTCTGCAAGTGCCACCAAGACATCCAAGATGGCTCTACCGTTTTAAATGGTAGATAGAAGAAATATACTAGAGAAAAATAACCCATACATCCAAAACGTGTTAAAACCCATCCAACTTAATAGTCCATAGGAAAATTAAGACGGGTCTATTTCTTGAGGAATTAATTTTAAATGTCCTCAAGTGGAGACGTATTTTTTTTTGATAATAGAAGATCTTGGGATAGGTAGAGAAATTCAGAGCCTCAGTAGTTTGGAGAAGACTGGAGTTGGCGACGAGTTCCCCGGAAGTCCTACGTTTCCCTACGGGTAGACTCAACAAGGAGTCCTACCAAGAAGCCAATGAATATTTTCTCCATCGTCATAATATTTCGCCTACGAAGGCTATTTTAAATCTGGTTTTCTTTACACAAAGATATTGAAAATGCAGTAAATATGTGGACGTACCCCCCCCCCCCTCCCCCCACTAAACGTGTAAAAAAGTACGCTTGTTTTACCGTCACTTACATAATTATTACGCGCCATTTAATTATGTTTTGTGTTGGTTATGATATAGCCAATTGACTAATGAGAAATGAGTTTCATTCGGAATGGTCAATGAGAGATAGGGTTACGCGTGAAAAGTCTTACGCATGAAGACAGCCGAAATTTTACTCTCGGCAGCTTAATTTTAGTGTATCGCCTTTTATAGATAGGAAAAGGCCTTGAAAAAGTAAGTAATTGTTATTTATTATAGGGTTTAGAGAAAGTTTACGGAAGATATAACTCTTATTTTTCGTTGAGATGCCCTTATTATCTTACAATTATTGTAATGTCCGCTTGGAATACGCTAACTGGCAAAAAATAAAATATCTCGGTGTAATAAACGACTGAATATTTTCCAACTGGATATTGCTGCCATGGTTTTTTTTTTTACAAAACATTATGAAATGATTCTGATGTACCATATACTACACACTTAACTAATTTCTTACCTGAAAGCATAATTTCCACGAGGTTCACCACTTTTTCCATATGTTTTCTAGCAGCTATCAATCCTTGCAGTATCAATCCTTTGAACTCCTGGAACATTTTGGACCCACTGCCTCCCATTACCTCAACAAACTCAGGTGTCAGCTTGAAAGGACTACTTTCGAACCCCAGATTTCTGGGCGACGCCGAAAGGATGAAGCCGAAATCAATATGAATTAAATGTCCATCACTATGCAATAAAATATTCCCATTGTGTCTATCTTTGACTTGTATCAAGTAACAAATCAAACAGTAAGCTGCACAGCTCTGCAGGAATTTCCTTTGGGCCTCTGCAAATCCCTTGGAATCTACAGGGCCGAACTCCCTCTCGAAATACTGTAGTAACGTTAACTGACAATGTTTCTTAATCTGATGCAAGGAGACAGTATTCAGAATAGGTTCAATCATTCCACTGTCATTGGATAAACACAATATCTTATATGGCCTCAGCCATAGTGGCACATTTTCCTCTTGCCAAATCTTGCTTAGCATTTCTAAAAGCTGTGAGGCTAACAGTTCCTGTCTGAGATCATCTCCACATTTAACAATTGCAGCAAGAAGTTTCCAGGAGGCTAAATGTCCGTAAGGACTCGACGCTTTAATCCTTCTCTGCTTGAACTCCCACGGTTCCTTGAGAACAGCAGCGGAAGGATCTTCGGGATCATGGCTGAAGGTTGCTGATGGAGTTGCTGCCATTTCACTTAATCTTCTCTTTATGTCACCAGGTACGAAGATGGGTTCTTTAGAGTCAGATGAATCTTGACTCATTTGAGATATCGTATCTCGATCTCGATGGTTTCTTGGTCTTCGTAATTGTAGGTATTGTTGAGTAATTTCATCATCTTCCTGACTCCAACAATCATTAGGATCGTCGTTTATGAAATTTGGGTAGCTAAATAAATGATTTGATAGGGGAGTAGATAAATTCGTGGTCAGCGACTTGTTTACAGCCTTGGAAGGAGTTTTGTTGTTTGGACCAGACGTAAGTGTGGGGGCAATCGATGGGTCTTCTGTAGGGTTGTCGCTTCCAGTTAGATTTTCCTCAGATTTTGTATGTCTCAACGAACTTCCCATGATTTTCGTGGGGACAGGGGAAGTATATAGATCTTCTACTTCAAGGACTTCTACATAAATGATGTACGGAGCCTTATCCTTGCTATTAAGCACTGCTGCATATTGTGGGGGCACCCTCACGATGTGATGAGGAATGGAACTGTGTAAAGGGAGCCAAACCCGAGCTGGAAGATTTAGGTTGAGAGTGTTAAGCTCTGCCACGAGCTGAACTGTTTTAGCTTCTTTTGTGGGGATTGTTCCCAACAGTTTACCAATTGTTATGAGAGCCTGAATGAATTCGAGTTCTGGAGCAAGACGAGGAGCATCACAGAAACAGTCAGTCTTCTGACCTCTAAGATCGTTCACTACACCTTGGCAGGAGTGGAAACAGGTACATCCATTATCAAATGCTCGTCCGGAACTCAGATCTCCCAGGTTTATTTTACTTATTATACCTAAAATTATGAAAAATGGATTATTAATGTTATTTATACATGTAATTATGAGTATTTCATAGGTTTCACATTTCAGCATTTAGTAACAGGTCCGCTTTCCACATGCATTTGATTAATTATTGCACAGTAAATTATAAAATAAAGTATACCTATAATAGAGTTTTTTACACGTGACGAATATCGTCTTGGCTTAGCCTTGCAAACCGTACACGGATGAAAAATTGAACCAGCAGCCATGAACCACAATATACTATAAATTGACACGACTCGGCCATAAGCCTTCGATCTGTATGAACGTGTTACACAGTGTGCCACTTAAGCAATGTTTTCCCGTAAAAAATAGTTCGTGCCCATCCGATTCCTATTTTTTCTCTAGGGGAACTTAAGCCTGTCTCCACTTCCAGTTGGCGAATCTTTAATCTGATAAGTAACAATCCTCACTTTTTTATAAGAACACCCTGATCCAGCCACACATCAGCCTAACCTCAACGGCGGTCCCACCAAATCGAACTGCCATTTCCATGATGGACGACCAATTGGTCTCCAAAAGCAATGCAGCCAACATCTCTCAACGAAATCAACCAAGCAATAAACCACCGGAATAACAATCACGAAATGATTTACAATAATATATTTCTCTCCCAGAGTCCTTCCCCCCGACCCTCCACCGGCCTAATACAATTCTCGCTAAAGGTGCACAACGTTCTGGATTATATTGAATTACACGGATTATATATTTTTCCACATTTTTTCTCCAAAACTCGATCACCTCTCCACGGGTACGTCCCTTTCTGCTCTCAGTAAACGACACTGACATGAGCACTTTGGAGAAGAACGCTCTAAGAGAACATACAGTTAGATCTTCTGATGAAGAACTGGACTTCAAACTCCCCAAATCGACGAAAGAAAAGTTTCACTGGTCATCCAAAAACAAGGAACTCACACCTCAACCTGAAAAGTCGACCACCTCCCCCCCCCCCCACCCCTCGTCATTTTCTAAGAACATTCTTCAACATACCATCATCTGAAAGAACTGTAGAAAAATCGTTTCTGTCTAAATTCTCAAAACTAATCATCTGAAGTCTTCTTCCAATCTAACGAAGCTGTCCCGAACACACCAGACATTTACGAAGTTAATCTTTCCAAAATCCTTATGAACATTCCGTTATGTACCAGATTTTCGTCAATTAAGATAGTGTTAAATATTTGAACATCCAGCATTGTCCGTGTGATACTTGCCAGCGTAACTGGATTATGCTGGCCAAGTAATGACACGCAAACAATTATGTATTTAAGAGGCCGTTTGAGTCTGCAGAAGGCAGATCCAAATCGGGCTCCGACATGTATTTGTCGTAAACTTTGTAATCAGTCAGATAACATAATTAAAATAATGAACTCTCATATTTAAATGCTTATAAACTATTGGTGGGATTTTTATCGCTTCGAGCCTAGAAATTACAATAAATATAAGTACCCCTCATGCAGGGGACAACAATTCCTAACGATCTAGGCCATGGCCGGTCCTTCTTCAACGCTAGAAAAATAGGGTTCTCTAACTTAGTTTTCTTGTAATCAGCCAAAATCGCAAATGGCGTCCTGGACCATCCCTCCGTCAAATCATGCCTATCATCTTTTAACCTTAACTTTCAATCTAAATGACTACCAATAATCGCACGCCACCCAATAGCCCCTGATGCCTTGTCTTATCGTGCTCCTCAATCTAGCACCTCTCGCACTCCATCGCTTAATATGAGAAGCCGCACCCCTAATACCTCTCAGGTAGTCTTCGTGATATCCGATACATTCACTCGTACCCTAAGTCCTGCACAAACACACTCACAAATTCCCCCACAACTCCTCAATACAGCCTCACCCCACTACCTTCCTGAACCATGTTCAATGTTCTCCGAATGAGCTGCACTTCCCCTCAGCAGTCAATCATACCCTTTCCAGATCTCGCACAGGTCCTTGACCAAATAGGAAGCTTCTTGGATCTCTTTCTACATCAGCTCGCTGCTCTAGTTGAGAGCTTTAGTCTCGTAAACAATTTCCACCAAGCCTAGCCTCCAGCTCCCCCCATCCCTCCAACCTGTCCAGGCTATTTTCTCTCCACCTCCAATCCATATTCACATATCTCTCCCTTCTTGATTACCCCCTCACAATCGATAATTCAACCTCAATACTGTTCGGTTTTTGACCGAAGTTTTTTTCTGCACTCACACACACACAAGCTCTAGAACTCTCGCTTATCACGCACTCTTGGCCTTACCTGTCTTACGCGTCTTGACTGACCCATCTGAATGATTGATGGTTTTTCACCCCTGACACTGAAGGCGCCACTTACCGGATAATACTCATCGGCCCGCGCTAATTTCCCTGATATGAGGCAAGTGACCAGTTGTTCAGTTCTTAATTAAATTTTAGTATATTGTTTTGTTCACTTGGTGACTCACGATAAGGCATCGTTTAATAAAGAAACTCTATCTTGAAAATTCTCTATCTCAAAATTCTCCTGAAAATAATCCTCTTTCATTTCTTCTATCTCTCACTAATATGCCCAGAATTAAATCCTTCTCCTAACAATCCTCCTTAAAATTCTCTAATGAAATGCTCGTAGCTCACCTTTCTAACATCATGATTCTCTCCAAACCCGGCCCAAGCCCTTTCAACCCCATGTCTCCGGCTTGTAGCCCTATATAGATGATGTGCTTAACCAACAAGGCAGTGAAGTTGAGATATCGACAAAGTCGGATTCTCAGGAGCCCCGGCCATAAAATCATATTAGACCCATTGTTCGGAATACAATACCCAAATTGGGTGAAGCCCAGCGTATCCAGAGTGGGGGTAGCAGCATGCACGAAAAGGGGCGCAGTGGACTGAGAATGCGCCACGTACTCTCCCTCACAATTTAAAACACCTTCCCGGCGAAAAATTCAAACAGAATTTCACCAATTTAACTTGAAGAATAGTTAGTTGTATCGAGGGTGATTATTAAAATATCATGGTGCTAGAAATTGATTATTTCCTAGTTACCTTAATATTGAATAATTACTTGACTACAGATTGGAAAAAATATGAGATGTTAATTATTTAAAATTCAATCATTTCATTATTAAATTAGAATTTCACTTTGTAACGTGTTTTCCCCGGAGTGTTCTGTAAGTCCGGAGAATTGATTCCGTAGCATCCGCGAATTTACGAAATTTATTTTAATTTATTTATTTAGAGGGCGCCAGCTGTTTTAAGTGGGTAAAATAGCAAACCAGAGAGCCGCCTAGTTGTTAAAGATACAATTAGGAAATACCATTTAAACCGCCTAGTTGTTGAGGACACAATTAGGAAAGACCGAAGATGCCGGTGGAGGTGGGTGTTAGCACCTCCACAGAAATTGCCGATAACACATACGGACGAGAGCACAGAACGGTGGGGTTTGCCCGTTCTCGCGTCAGGACAGACAATTAGTTCCAATAAGTTCTGCCTAGTTGTTAAGGACAAAATTAGAAAAGACCGATAAGTTAAAATTATGTACGTGACCAGAGATCGTCACTGTCCCTTTCCCAGGGCGCAGTGAGGACCGCTGGAGACTTCCCGCGAAATACCAAAGTGGCGGATGTAAAGTTAGAACGCGTGCGGGAGCACTGGGTCGCTCAGTCTGCTCGGTTATGGAGAGAGGGTCGGAGTTCTTTAGTATGGTCGATCCCCGTCAGCGTCAGGAGGTTGGTAGGGTAGGGCGATCGATAGCAGATCAGGTGGATAGAGGCGAGAGCGACCGGTAATTAGTTAGCGAGGGAAGGTCGATAGCTGTCCATAGGCGATAGAAAGGCGGGAGCTCGAGATATAAGTATTGGTATACCGTCTCTCATTTTCCGTTAGCTCAGCCTCATGGCTGTAAGAAAGGTAGCGATAGGTACAGCGATAGGACGGGCTATATGCCACACTGGTCATCGGTAGCTGCGGGTTGGCTAGAGCCCGGGGCCGACTGGCCCGTGAGAGTACCGAGACAACTCTGACGTGTGGAGTAGAGAGTGCTCCCTAGTAGCTCTGCTCCCCACTCCCGACTCACGCGGCTGAAGTGCGTGGGGGATCCTCCGTGGTACTTATCACCACCGCGAGGATATAACGATAACGTTTCCTGGAGCGCGCCGAATTCAAATGTCCCCAACCAGGCTGTCCAGTTAACCCCTTATCTGGACCCCTGGCCACTTGAATGCCCGACCCGTCTAACGTGGAACAGTTCTCTGGAGTGGAGAACCAAGTGTTCCGACAGAGGAGTCTCATTGGGAGCTGAGGTTCAGTAGTATAACCTTAACTCCCCATGCGTAGGGGATTAGCGGACCCAATCGATACGGCAGAGAGCGTGATTTATTCCAGTAAATATCTTTAATTATTATTAACGCGAAAATCGCGTTACAACTTATAAGTTTCAAATGTCTTGGTCCAAGACTATTAAAAAAAAACCCTTTGAATCTACCACAAACAATCTTAGAGATATTGAAGAGAAATTCCTCAGGAATATGTTTTTAGTCAAAACTTTGTTGGTTTGATAGCACATATATGAAAACAATTGAACTGAAAATATAATCGGACTCGCCACATAATTCTATGGAAATTTCATTAGATTTGTAAAAAAAATGATTTAAGTTTGTGATTAAATTCATTTACAAGTTTTCTTCAACAGAAATATCAATAGAAATATTGAACAGAAAACACTAGATTTAAAACACATTGAATTTTTTCTTAGAATTTAATCGATTTTACACATAGATATCCCATTTTCTGCCTATATATGAGCCAAAGACGTTGACTTGAAATGATTTTACTATGACAATTCTACAAGGAAATTTGCAAAGAAATTCTTTTAAGTTAACTTTTCCTATCAATTTATTTATTCTCTCAATATTCACATCGGAACGAATCCCTAATAATGAACGGCCAAACCCAAATGGCATTTTAATAGGAATCCAATAGACCTACATTAAAATAAAGAAACTAGAATTGTTTGATAGATTTTTTGATCTGTGGCGATTTTAAAGTTATCTTTGCTCAGGCACTCTCTGCAGTAATTACTCATTTTCATGGTTAACTGGAAATGTTTGAAACTTTGCCCAGGCCTGATCTACAAGATCATTGAGTCCCCACTCGACTTTTTCCTTACACGGAAATCATATTACTCTCATCTGGATTCCCTCCCATGTAAAAATTCCGTGCAATGAATTAGGCGATCCCGATGCCAGACGCCATAAGCAATGATAATTTTCAATATACTTCCGTCCCCCACTCTGATCTTAACGAATCCTTCACGAGGAACATGAAAGCCAAAACTTCCAAAATCCTGAGAACCCAGAGCCACCGAAAAGATGCCCATTACTTCAAACACTTCCAGAGAGGCTTTCGCCCTACCTGATTCCATTCTGTAGAAATCGATGGACTTCAAATCTCCTCAATCTCAAGAATGAAATCAAACCATCTCAATCTCAACGTAAGCCTCTTTCGCGAAGGTAACCAACTCGAAACCCTTTCACACGTTTTCTGGCTTTACCCTAAATGAACAGATGAGGGCACCCCTTTTCTCAAAGCTGTAAAAAAATCAAAAAATCAAAAGTTAATCTTTGATCCAAGCACCAAAGTTGCCTACTTTACCCACAACTGCTGAAAAGCCATCCGCAAGTCAATCTAACCTCCATTTCAAACTTGACCCGCCACTACGTAGCTATACCTAATTCCCTACCTCATCTTCTCGTACCTAGACTCACATAACGTTCCTACGTTGGAACAATGGCCGCAAGACGTGAAGTCAGTTTCATTAAGAATTAAAAGAAGATAAGTCAGTACGATCTCCGGTCATACAATATCCACGAATATGCCTTATTATTTCACAGACAAACTCAAACTTGCACTTAGACGTGCACTCTTTACATAATTTGATAGAAAATAGGATGAGAGTCTTCCTAGACATTTACATAACGATACCAGGACTACAGTGTCAATTCAAGCTACACGTCACTTCTATCATTTTTTACTCTGAGGACCGCCTAGTGTCAGGTCATTGGAAAAGGCTAGTTTGTACTTAAACGAAGACAAAATGACCTTTGAAGTTATCGCCGAATTCAATGCGGACGTTTACAAAGAATAACTCACTGTAATATCACGATTATACAACAATATAATTTTTATAGTACCAATGGGAAACATTACCATAGCAAAAAAAAAAACTATTTGAGTTAACACTGATTTCTTTAAGAGGCCAATTTATTGCACACAATACATATACAAAAATATGGTCCAACCGTAATGAATAGGATCGCGTATTCCATGAAGGGTATGCTCCAAATAATTTTTCCTTCACCCTATCCTATCGAATATTATTTTCATTTATGGGGGCCAATATTTGATCATTTGCTGGTCCTAGTGCACCAGAACTAGGAGTTGGCAATTATCGCCACTCACGTTTTTGGTGGAGAAAGTTTTCCAGACGTGATGTGAGTGTATTCGTCGGTATACATTGGGTTTATTAACTAAAAACTAGTCGTCAAGTAACGTACAGCGAGACTGCCATCAATCTCGTGTTTATTAGCAAATGTTGGTTCAATTGAGAATCTTTACTTAGCCAACCCACGCCACCTTAAGACTGTACCAATAGATGTCATCATAGGGACTGACAATTACGGGTGGGTCGTCAGAAAGAAAGTTGTTAAATCCAGAATCGCTGAACTAATTGACGAGCAAACAATTTGTGGTTGGATATAATCAAGTTCAATTAATTACATCCGGGGCTATTCTTTCATCAAAAGCTTTCTTAAAAGGTATCGCTCCAGGAAGGACTCCCACCTTTGCAGAAAATCATAGAACTATCATCAGACGCATTTAAGGGTGTGATGCATTTGAGATCTACACATAGGAGAGATTCAACGGTGCGATACATTGTAAGCCTATCTCTGAGGAAGTCAACCGGAGCCGGGAGATAAATCAAAGTTAAAAACCTCAGATCGATTCAAGTCAGTTTGGATTTAAGAAACTCCACGCGGACTGCGCATATTCCCAGCTCTACAGTGGATTTATTTGCGAGTACGAAGAAATAGAACCCATAGACTAGCACCAGAAACAACAGAACCAGAAATGGGCTGCTATCTACTGCCTCATGAGATTCTGAGAGCTGATGCTATCACCATAATTGAGTTGTTTCCATCGACTTCCGTAGCACATCAGCAGGAGGGTTCCTAAACCTTTTGGATTAAATTGACCTTCTGGATTCAAGAGGGACGTGCTGGCATCAAGCCATTGGGACATTGCAGTAGTAGTCCAAGGATTTCGACTTTTGGGAATTCACCAAAAGAACTATCCTATGAAAGATAGCGCAAATATTCGACCCCTTCAGATTTATTAAATTGATGTTAGAGGCAAAACTGTTATTCAGGATTTGTGGAAACTCAAGATCGATTGGGATCCTCCACTTTCACTCAAGCACGAAAGACAGTGAAGGACATTCAGAAAGCACATCACCGAACAAAATCCGATCTCAGTGCCAAGGTGGCAGAGAACATCACCAGCAGAGTCTGATGTATAAATCATTGGAGTCGCAGATTTCTGAACGCCGGCACTGGGAGCAGTTGTGAACAGCAGGACTGAGAGAATCAACCAACCTGCCCCAACAATCTAAAGCCATGAAACTAATCATCAATTGCGTTGATCAAAACCTACATGGCTGAGTCAGTATGCTGATGACCCGCCACTCTCAACAGTAGACAGAGTAGACAGTAGTAGATTCTTGTCGAAACCAAGTTCTCGCGAGCTCATCGAAGCGTCGTTAGACTATTCTGGGTAAGAATCTTAGAGAAAACTCAAGGGAAATATTGTTCTCTTTGTCCTCACGTCAATCGAGAGACCAGCAGCTACTGAGATTGTATGCGTGGGCCAAGTTGATATCCTCGTTAGATGAGAAAGCTATCATGTGACTAGAGAGACGTGTCAGGAATTCATAACTTGACCCTGATGAGATTTGGCCGATCATCTTGCCTCACAACTCACGTCTCACAACACTGGTCATCGAAGAAGTTCACCGAACAACATTGCCTGGAGCAACTAAATTCACTCTGGCGACTCCAAAAATACTAGATCCTCAGTAGCAGATGCGCAGTCCGAGCTTATATACGCTTATATACGCTGTGCCATCGGCACCAGATATCGAGCTGGTGTTGACGATGACATTGAGATCGCCAATATCAGCAGCTGATAGGTCAGCTGGTCGCAACGATCACGTCATCATCAAGAGCATTCCTTCATATAGAAGGGATCAAGAATCAGAGGCCAACGAGCGCTCCCCCTCTCTAGTTTATAGTATACTTTCTACGTGTTTGGTTCACAATGCAGATACTCCTACTCCTCACACATTCAACGCAATCCGGTTCTTATAAAGACATTTCGAAAATGATGAGTCGCTTAAAAGGAAAGTTCAACTAATATAAGGCTAAAAATGAATGATTGCGTACCAGAATTACTTCGACGCAACGATTGAAATAACCCAGTAGCGTCAGATTGTGATCTTTGGTGTGTTTTTTTGTTGGGTGACGTAATGAGTTGAGCGGGCGGTAAAGTCATCATTCCAATTGCTGGTTGGCATCCTCCATGTACAGAAATTTTGTATTTTCTCGTTGCATCACAAGTTCTTTTATTCCGACGGAGTTCATCCGAGAGAATTAGATTCTTCAATTTGGTCCCATGCGATTTTTTTTTTGAGGGCAAATGTGCGTCCGAGCTGTATGCATCTAGAAGCCATGCACATTTCAGGGAAAAATCTGCTGCTTGTCTACACCTAAAAGAAAAATGCCTTACTATCAATTCAAATTTAAAATTGAGAGTAGCTTATCATACAAATATTTCTTTAACTAATAATTTTCGGAGGAAATGTTTGCCGAAGAACTGTAAAGAATAATTATTAAAACGAACCAATTAATAGGTTTTACTCACCTATGGACGAGATAAGGATAAAGCACCTCAGTGACATCGTGCAGTTGAATATACATTAGTACAAGTTGTGGTAAATAAAAGTCAACATCCCCGTTGCTGAAGCTAAACAATTTATTTCCAAGATAACTCTGGACGCCAGGTTCTTTTGAGTTGAACAAATAGGAAATTGCCATCGACATATCGAATATCTGGCTTTCAAACAAGCGCAATAAACATCCCTCAGAAGCCTTGGGCTGTGCGCTTTCTTGCTTTCCGAGTGGTTTACCAGTTTCAGTCCCTTCGGGCTGAGTAGATCCACAGCAAAGAACAATTGCTGATCCTGCAAATTCTAGTTGCTTTTCCAAAACTTCTTCGTTTCTCTTGTGAGCATTGATAATACCTAATGTTACTTCTTTTCTCTGCTCTTTGACCAGCTTATCACTATGCTCATTAATATTTTCGCTTTTCTGTCTGTTAACGGTAGTTTCCATCGTAATTATCCCCCCTTTATTATTAGAAAAGTCAATTTCTTCAGTGATTGAGTCAACTGAATCAATGATGTCAACACTATCCATGTCTCCAGATTGGGACAGCGATGAGTCCAAACTCTCACGGCTGTTTAAATGATCAATATTTGATTCACAAGTGGTCATGGCTACCGCATCACTGGAGCCACTATCAGAACCGCAGAGAATTCCAGAATCGTCCGAACCTAGGCTTGCCAAATCCTCACGTTCACGATTTCGCGGTTTTATAATTGGAGTCGAGGGCTTTTTAGCAATATCTGGAATCGTCTCACATTCTGGAGAAGGAGTAACATCTACTTCTGGAATACGCTGTAGGGCGGAGTCCAAACTACGGTTGCGGTGGTGGTTGGTCAGGGTTGTCACGGTTATTTGGGGGACTGGCGGCAGCAAGATACCCATCGACCTTAAACAGTGGTTTTTGACTCTTAAGTACAATAAGCTCAAGACGTGAGTAGTTACGGCATTTTCGCAGAATATCTCAAAAACTAAGGAATTGGGGTGAATGTTCCCAAGCATTTGTTGTCATCTCCAACGATAGTGGTAGAGAGAAAATTCTCGTCATTTCTTGAATTTTCATAATCTATCACCTCGCCGCGGGCAAAAATTGCCCAATAATTTACAATCTTCCTTAGTTTTCGGGATAACTCCCAAATTATTTTTAATAATTTTATCGATTTTTGACATTTTTGCAATTTTCAAATTCTACCAAAATAAAAAATAAAAAAAGATTCCAGCAACATATAAAAGTAAGAGAAGAAAGAATCATTTTGTTGTCTTTTTTTATCTCCCCCAAAATCATCTAATATTTCCTTAGGGGTACTCCGAATCAAAAAGTGGAAAAGGACCTTTCAGTACAGAATTATGGCATGAACATGTCGGTTTCGGAACAGCAGGTACCTCTGAGACACCTTGTATGCAAATGCAAACGAATTGAATGAAATATGCAGGTGTACTTGTGTATATATCAGTACTTATTTTTACCTTCTGCATACCTTAGTTCAACGGCGAATGTACGGAAATGTATCAAATAATTTAGGGTCGCCAGAGTCTTCCCATTAATCGTATGTTTTCCAACGATAATTCAGAAACTTATTAAAAACTAAACTTGTCCACACATGTATACCCTTTCGGGCTTTTACATTTCCCATCCCCAGTTCCCCCTGTACCGCAATTACGCCGAGGGCCGAAGGGAAAACCTCATGAGAAAAAACCTTGGCCAGGTACAGTCGTCTCTTTCGAGACTACCGCTCGTACGATGAAACCTGTGCAAGTTAGAGCGAATTCTATCTCTAAAAAACCCCTGGCATTTCCCCGACTGGGAATCGAACCCACGAATCTCATGTGCCAACCCTCTACGCTCTAACCGCACGGCCACCGCACGTCATTCATAAACTTATTATTTACTACCTGAGAATCAGCGGGGTTAGTGAATTAGAATCCTGAAAGTAGTATTTAAAAGCAAACAAACGGAAGTATTTGCGTAGGTTATCAGCAGATGTATTACCTGCTTTAGCTGACATGCGTTAAACATGCAACTGCCTTACACCACCAATACAGTAACTACTTAAATCAGGACTTATTAAAAATATTTAAACACCATCTCGTCGCTTTCAGAATATCTGAGGATCCAAGTATACGGCAAAGAAAATTCGAAAAAAAACGAGACTACATTTGAACTGAGAACTCTTGAGAACTTCTCTGGTCTTTTTGCAACTGGTTTTAAAGCCTATATCCTTTACATTTTCGAAAAATTCCAACAGTTAGATTAATTCCAGGATTAGCCTGTATTTCTTTCAGTTCCGTGCTTCTCAGTACCCTTTGATTTTCAATCTTTACATTTTTCTGCCGGTCGTCGTAATCGTCATCTTATAGGATTGTGGTGGCAGAGAGAATTATCCTAAGTTGAATCAGAGGAAAGTACAGTCATGGTTTCTCAGTTCTCTTGTACTTTTCTTCTTCGTTCTCTAATCTGTAACACTGACTGCAAGTCTTGCAGTCCTTTTGCTAATGCAGAAAAGTTCCACAGAAACGAGGTACAGACTGCAAGGTAGAGGTATAGGCAAACTGAGTAATGAAGGGAGATCTTTAAAATAGTTGCTAGATTGGTTTACGAATGGTTTTAAGAATGTTGTGTACAAGGTAAACGATTTTAGTGTTTAGATTGAAGATCAACTTGTGAATATTGAAAGTAAACATTTTTACTTTATTGAGGGCTCCTTCATATGTGTTGCGGACGCCGCAGTTTACTACGGTCAAAATTAAATCCGGTGAAAGGAATTAGTAGCTCATGTGGAGGACTACCCATAAATGCCAACCTATGCCATCGCTGATGTGTTCTGTCCTACTGAAGACTGCTGACCACTTTATGAAGGTCTGCAGTGACTGCCGCCGTTTCTGGCGGTGCGGAAGCGGCAGAGGTTGGTGTTGCTTCGGAAAGGGAAGAAGCTACCGAACGTAACGTCATCGTATCGTCCCCTCTGCATGTTCGACATTGCGAGGAAGATCCTTGAGCATATTGTTCACAGAAGGATGGTGGCCGAAAACGAGTATTGCTTCAGGAAAGGTAAATGGGTGGTGATGACCGCCAGAGAAGCGGTCTCAAAGGCCAGATGGTCGGCCCGCTGAGGTTAGTCCTTCCGAAGGATGTAAGACTGGAGGACATCAGATATTGGCAAATGTCCTCGAGACATAAAAACGCTCATAACTCGCGAAATATTGATTTTATCGCATGAAAAAGTATAGGAGTTTTGATGTTTGTAATTGAACGAGGCATCGGTTCCAGGGGTCAAATTTCCAAAATTTCAATTAGGGTGTCCTGAAGGGGGGATCTCTAAATTTATTGATATTGACATAAAACGAGTTCCAGGGTAACCCAAAGTCGGTCGAAGAGAAGTTCTCCATAGTCAAAGATCTTCTGTACCTCTTCCAGGTGTTCCTTCTCCGCTTGTAGGTGAACGTGACGCCCTACCTGTTCCTGCATGTTCCCAACAAGCTTAGGTAGCCGAATGTCACTCATGCTCGAGTTTTGTTCGTTGAGGCGAGCAATCGTGACGTCATCTAATATCAAATTCAATTCCGGATTACCATGGGTGTTTACGGTTATTTCATCTTTTTTCCGATCTCTGATAGTGAAATCCGAGGCGACTATCTCGCAAAAGTTCTCACCTCTCAAAATCCCCGAATCTTTCAAGATATCTCTGACTTCTTTGTCATCATAGATTGCTACTATTCTTTCAGGCTCCGGAGCTATGTAAAACCATACGTTATCTTTCTTCATCTTGATCATAGGAAGCGCTTGAAGCTTAACGTGTTTCATTTCACAGGTAGAAAGCATTTTTTCCATGCTCATGTACATTTTTACTTCATATGGACTGTTTTTTATTACTTCTTAGATAGGCAGAGTCTCACTGCCCAAGTATTGATCAGTTATTTGTGTACAATTTGTAAATTGGTCCTCGGTCATTGGCACGTCCTGCTGTGGTGGCCCGTGCATTACCAAAAGTTCATTCTTAAGAATTCCAGACACCGAACGCTTGAAAGTTAATCAGAGGTATTTCTATCATTGTTATAATTTTAAATTCGAATGCATGTACACCAATGGTTGAAACCTCCAGCATTATATGCATTCCGCCTTATATTCAGCTCAAAGAGAGAACTGAATCCCTTCGGTAATACAGCTGTTTTAAATAGGATAACTAATTCTTAGATCGTGAATATTTCTGTGTCCAACAGCCTGTGGTCTGTGTCCAACGGCCATTCCCTTAGAATCAGTTAGAAGTTTCTTTATTTTTGCAGCATCACTAATTACACTACACTCATCTATGCTATTTGTTCATCTTCGCGCGATATCTCCTTACGTGGCCTGAACAATACACTTCAATTTCTCTGAATGACTTCTTCCGTCCGAGCTAATTGAAAAAGCGTAGAATTGACAACCTCTAGTTGCTTCCTGGAACTGGTCAATGTCCCTTCAACTTCGGTCGCTAGGTATGAAAGTCTCTTCTTAATTTCCTTGGCATCTTGAGCATCCATAGTCCAAAATAGTGTCTTTGCTACGGAACCTGACCGTCTATATAAGTCCTCGGCGGTTCTTGTTCTCATTTAACACTAGTAACGAATTAATAGCTCTTGTTATTTCCGTAAAACTAACAATCCATCGATCCACGATGAGGTCAAAGTTGTGTTCCCATGGGCTAGCTCTGAATTCAAGATGTTTCTTAGTTTAAATGTTCTTGAAGTTGATTAGCTCTTGCTTGCTATGACGAGATATCTGTAGTTGCAGTCCTGGACCAAACCTGATTGCTCAGATGAAGTATCCCAATTAGTTCAAAATAAATCCCTGGCATGTGGAAGAGATTTTCAATTATATGTCCGTCCCCCCGTACTATAATCACCATGCTTCCTAGCATGAGCAGTTGGCAACTAATTGCAAAATTGAATGATGTGATAACACGAAAGGTTCGTGAACTTGAGTTTTTACGTGTCAGTTCTCCATTGCTTTGCCATTTTTGTCAACGTAGAGTTTTGTTATATAAAGCTGCCGGTTTCTCCCAATTTGTCAGTCATTTTCAAATTCCAAAATGACAAGCTAATGAGAACCTAAAATATCAATATGAGTTCAAAGGCGAGGCAGTAGGACGTACTGAGCGTTTTACTAGAAGATGTTTAAACTGTTGTAAACTTGGACATTTTGCTCCGAACTGTGTTCCAGTCTGCTTCGTTTCTGGAATTATTGGAGACCACAGATCAGCACTATGCCCTCGGACTCCAAGTTCGATTCACTTAGAAGTAGTAGAGAACATTGGTAATTCACTTGGCTTTCGTGTTTCACGTTCAAGCCAACTATTACACTCATATGGCAAGCATGCTGAGCACAGTTTTACGTGTTCCTTCTTGGTAAGCGCATACATTTCCATGGTTTTTATATTCTCGTGTTTCGCTTCGAAATTTATTTGCGGAAGTTCTTCTTTCCAAAATGGGTATGCTCATCCCGAGAATAAGGCATATGGTCATCTGCGTAAAACCATGCAGAAAAAAGAATCGTAATGCTCTTGGGGATCTCTCGGTCATTGAAAATGATCTGAAGGACATTTTCAATTTGCGGCTGTTGTGCGGGGAGGTTTCTGCTCCACAACCATACTATGTATCTCAGATCATGTATCTCATTTCAGAAAATTTAGAATTTCGTTGCTCCTGTTTCATTGCTCATAATAGTTTGGAGATGGAACATGTGAAACTGTGCCTTCCATTTTTTCTAAACTTTACACGATCTATGGGATCAGTGAAAGATAGGCTATTTCGCTTGTATATGTCTTGGCACCAAACGAAACAAAACGTACCTATCGACTTATTCTCAAGTGGATTAAGGAGCAGGCCGGTGATTTTCTGCAGCATTTTTGTGGA